CACAAACTCTTCTATGAGTTATTATCTAGGTCCCCTTTCTAACTTATTTATATTGGAGTTAAACTCTATAAGCCATCATGCTCTCATTACTAAAGGCTGCCAATTTCTGAATAGGCGATAGAGAAGAGGGAGAGTCTAGTATCCTGTTCCTTTATTTCTAACAGTTTTTCTCTGACTTTGTGATGGCCAACAAGGTACACATAATTACAACTCTGATTTATTGTCATTTGGTATTTGTATAATCATGTGCATGATTTATTATTTTAGTTTTAACATTTGTTTGATATTGTATATACTCGTTTTGGTCATCTCGTTGCTACTATATCCGAGTTCGAAAGGGAGTTGGGGTCAAGTAGTAGCTTAGATGAGTCAACTTCTAACTGTGAGTCTACCTCTTACCTCAGGTCTGTTATGCCTCGATACGACAAGCAATCTGGCTCAAGAAGAGGATCCTGGATGAAGAGTGTGCCCAAGTTGTTCCCCGTCATTTGGCAGATATGTGTTAGGTTGCTGAAGATGTATTGAAGACAGCTTCTACCATTATTGAGAAGGAGCAATTACTTGACTGGAAGTGGTAGTCTATCTAGCTAAAGATAAAAACAAAAATGAACAGCCATTAACAGGCCAATAAGAAGCCATGGTAATAGTTCAATTCGTAGCAAGGGAGCTGACTAAGTGGAAAGGAAATGATTTCAATTTAATCCTCATATGCTACTTTTGAGAAGAGTTTAAATATCTTTATTTCTGACCCGCCCTGCACTTCGGATTAGTCTCATAGTCTTGTCTATACTATATTTTCCTCACCGCCACCCGTTACAAGTCATTCGGTTTACAAGAAAAATATAAATAAGATTAGAAAATCCTAACAACAGCTATTCACGGGCCTAAGCTCAAACTACTAAGAAAATTACAATAAATCAGAGGCCTACAATAGTACCTAGCCTCTATGGGCCTGGGGGCCGGATCCCAGTTGCCTTTCTGCTGACCCCGACAATTAGGGCCTTCATCAGCATGCGTAGTATGAGTCATACCCAACAAATATTGAGAGAAGCCAACTCACCTCAAAAGATAATTAGGATTCGATTAACTTCAAAAATAAAAAAACAATTTAATGAAAATGTACGTCATACAAATGTGGTCATAATCTCACAAGCCGGACATGCCCACGTACTATAAATATGTGGCAAAGATCCAAATACAATTATCTTTTCATATATTTCACATAGAATCATTCATATTGAGCGTTGAAGTACCTTAAAATCACCCATCCCTTTCGGTTCCAGCTGTATCATCCTGTTTGACGTGCATCCCCAGCTCGTGATATCATCCCTCTAAAGGATCAAAGTCCTTATTTATGCGAGAGATATATCATCGCCAAGCAACTCAAATTTGAACCAAGCTAGACCGGTGTGATAAAACCTGATTTATATTGGCATGATCACTTATCATATATGTTCATGCAACTCTTTAAACAATTGTATGTTTTATTAAAGGGAAAAAAAAAGTATATAATATTACTTTAGATAACTTTGTCTAATATTCATCGAAACGACGTCGTTTTGGATTAAAAAATTAGAATGATAAAGATTATTATAACCTTGAAATAAATTAAAATTATAAAAATACCATGAGTTTCGCTTCAAAACGACGTCGTTTCGATGAACATTAGATAAAGTTATCTAAAGTAATTTTAGAATTTTATTAAAAAGCAAAAAGTTAAAATATCTCATGTAATTTACTTTTTTATTACTATTTTTTATGCTTCTTTTTATGACTTACCCGCTTATATATTAGATTTTATGACAATGACTCAGATATTGAATCTTTATTAATATGTTTATAAAAATATTTGTTTTCATTTTAAAATTTAAATTTACATTAATATTTTTAATGAATTTTTTTATTAATATGTTACTGTACAAGTTTCAATTTTAAATTCTTGCATTTTTCTAATTCAAACGTCGCATCGCACGATAGATAAATAATATAGTAAATGTAAAGAATTGACCAAAGAAATCTTCTGGATGATGACCATGTGAAATTAAGAAAAATATGACAGTTGTTGCCGGGAGATGAGGCTGAAGTCAACATCTTTCCATATCCTCAAATTTTTGAAATGGATTCATCTCTTAATAAAAAAAGTAAATAAAAATGTTTGGCATGAAAACGGTAACTGCAGCATGCAGCAAAGTTTTATTTTGTTTATATAAAAAAGAATTTATTAATTTTAAGTTATTAGAGATATCTTATTTTATGTCATGAAGATAAATATATGAGACCCTTTAATTTTAATTTTATTTTTTTGTAAAAGATTAGTCTCACATATTTATTTATATGAGATAAGAATATGTCCCTAACAACATAATAAAATATTTTTTCTCGTAAAAACACAATAAAATTGGCTTTATTATTATTTTAATTGAGATGAATAACGTCTAGGAAACTCAGTCGAAGGTGCAGGCGTTTAGCACTTTACAAACAATAATTGGCAAAAAAAAAATTAAAATATTATTATTTTAATAAATAATTACGAATACATAGTTGTTTAGAAACTATCTACGGATCTATTGCACTCATTCACGTCCAAATTAGTTGTAACTATTCACGCCCAAATTAGGCGTGACTCCCAAGGCATTCACGCCTAATTTAGGCGTGTATCATTGGTGTTGACACGTGGCAAAAAAGTCAATTTACGAACTGTAAAACTTTGGAAAGCCATAACTTTTGACTCGGATATTCGAATGAGGTAAATTTTTTTTTAATTCCACATAACTTTTTGAGATCTACGCAATGACATCTCATTTGATATATTTTATCTCTCACAAACACAATTCAAATTTATAATAATGATAAAATATATAAAATGAGATGTCATTGCGTAGATCTCTAAAAGTTATGTGGAATCAAAAAAAGAATTACGTCAATCGGATACCCGAGTCAAAAGTTATGGGCTTATAAAATTTTACAATTAAACTATTAATTTTTTGTGCCACGTGTCAACACGAGACGAGTCACGCCTAATTTAGGCTTGAATGAGTGCAATAGTTCCGTAGATAGTTTCGAAACAGCTATGTATTCGTAATTATTTATTAAAATAGAAATATTTTAATTTTTTTGCCAACAACAATTTGCTATGCATATTTAGGGAAGAACTTATTTAACTCTAATTTATTAGTCACTGAAAATTAATTAGATACTTGTATTAAAAAAATTTAGATACAAATGAAATTAACAATTAACAATGAATATAAAATTTATTAGTTTTATACTAATGTGAACTTATATTATATATGAGATTAATATTTCTCCTATAACATTAGATAAAATTATTTCATATAATTAAAAAAAGACATTGTTTTAAGATATAAAAAAGAAATAATACAAGATATTTTAATAAAATTAGTGATAAATAAAATATTGTTTTTATAAAATATTGTTTAAATTTTTCTTATATCCCAAAATGACGTTACTTTGGAATTGTGTAGCAAGAAAAAAACTTTTCACACATACAATATATATATATATATATATAGGGAAAATTATTTAAAAAAATTTATGGAAAATTATTTAAAAAAATTAATTGCTGTTCAAAACTGTAATGCCCCCATTAATTTTATTTCGGGTTTGAGTTTCTTCAATTTTTTTTAAATATTGCAACTCTCATTAATCAAATTGTTTGTCTTTTCCACGGGGCAAATTCTAGAATAGTTGGGAAAAGTGTTCCAGCGGTATTAGCCTTTACATCTATTATTGTTGGGTTGACTTTTTCTGCGTATAAGTTATCTGCATTAAGTTAATATGACGTCATTTCGGAACAGAAATTATGGTATTTTTATAATTTTAATTTATTTCAGGGTTATAATAATCTTTATATTTATAATTTTTTAAGATTTTAATACTAAAACGACATCGTTTTGGTAATAAAAGCAAATAATTTATCTGCATTAACTGCAGAAATATTTTTTTCCATTATTGTTAATATTCTTCTCATTTAAATATGGATGCTATTAATCTCCTATAGCTGGAGAGAAGTTATCTGCAAGTTGATACATGTTTTTCAGTATCTCGTGATTGCTGTAGATAATTTTTCTCTTTCATGCAGCTAAAGAGACTTATATCCCTTTAAATGAAATCATTTCAGTTTATTAGTATGTTAAAAAAAAGATTCCCTTTTTGTCATTTGACATGACAAGAGCACTTTCCTACACACACAAATCAAGTGTGGGTCCCACGCTTAAAAAAAAAAAAGTCAAACCAAAATCAGGATACGACGCCGTATCCTTGTTGCAGGAATGAACAGTGTCATTCCTGCAACATGATTCTTATATTTCCCTAAAAAAAATAGCTATTTGAAAAATAAAAAAACTACTGAAAAGTAAGTTTGACTAAACGGACTTTTCTATTGAGAATTAAAAATAAAAATAAAAAAGAAAAGGAATTCGAATGCGGAATTGGTAAGAAAGAAATTTTTAAGATAAATGTATTTTCAAAAATTATGTGGAAATTTTGTATTTAAAAGTTTAAAAAAAAAATTATTTGCTTAAAAAAGCCATATATTTACTCCTTGCACATTAATTATTATTATTTTTTAATTCCTAAATTAATTTCACTTTTCTTACTTGGTAAGTTGGTATAATAAATGCGAGGAAAGCTTAAGAGTTAAGAGTTAAGAGTTAAGATTTTAAGTATCCTTCAAATATTTTCTGTTGTATAATAAGCGCGTAGACAAAAATTTTCAAGCTGTTTATAATCATGAAGATGGACCAAACACAGTGTCTCGTAGATGTTTGGTAAGAAGCGCGTACACAAAGTTTGAAGAAGTCTATAAATGCACAATACTTTAAAATGAATCATATGACATGAAAACGCTAGAGAGAGAGAGAGAGAGAGAGAGAGAGTGTAGTAGTTGTAACATTTTTCAACGACGAAAATAGCTTAAGTCGCATGTTGCAGTGGTCACGAAACAACAACATTAAGTAAAATATGTCGAAAGAGAAAAAACACTGCAAATAGAAGAGAGAGACAGAGAGAGAAACTAGAGAGAGAGAGGTGTGAAGGAAGAATGAGTGGTGGAGGTGGTGAAGAAGGGACACCTTTGGAGTTTACTCCAACATGGGTTGTTGCTGCAGTTTGTAGTGTGATCGTTGCTGTTTCTTTTGCCGCAGAGCGTTTACTTCATTATCTTGGCAAGTTTCTTAAGAAGAAGAATCAGAAGCCACTCTATGAAGCTCTACAAAAAATCAAAGAAGGTTCTTTTTCTTTTTTCTTTTTTTGTTTATTTATAAATGATCTGAAAAATGGGATGTGTTAATTTTCTATATTTTGTTTTGTTTTGTTTCAGAGTTGATGCTGTTGGGTTTTATTTCTCTGTTTCTGACGGTGACACAAAATGGGATAATCAAAATCTGTATTCCAAGTGGTTGGACTCACCATATGCTTCCTTGTAGCCTTGAGGATAAAGAAAGTGAAGGATCAAAAACACCCACATCACATTTTCAGAGTTTTTTCTCTTTCTCTGCTATTTCTGGCACTGCTAGGCGACTTTTAGCTACGGAAAAATCAGCAACAACAGAGGAAAAACTTGGATTCTGTGCTGCCAAGGTACTAAACTATACATTTTGGATCCTCATGTGTGGGGAGTGAGGAGAGACTTGGAGCAGTGGTGACATTGCTCCGTGTGATCAGATGGCCACGAGTTCGTTTTCTCTTCGTGATCAGAAAGTCATTGGTTCGAGTTTTAGTAACAGTCTCTTTGCTAAAAGGCAAGGGTAAAATTGCATACAATCGACCCTCACTCCTATTCTCATAGGTCAGAGAGTCTTGTGTAGATGGATTTGCCCTCATAATGCACTTTTTAGCAATCAGTATTTTGTATTGAATTTAATCACTTTAATTGGGTTACTCTTATTTGATAGCTTATATATATATATATATATTTATGTAATATTTTCGTTCATAAATTGAAATTAATTTCAACGAGGTGCACTTTATAGAATAAAGTGGATGTTATGGCCTTTTTATCTGGCATTATCATATTCACAATATTATTTTTGACAGTGTTAATTTGATGATTTTCTCCTGTTATGCATTTAATAGTTTCTTCTAGATACTGAACTATCTTACTGTGTGTTTTTTATTTTCCTTACAGAACAAGGTACCTCTATTGTCCGTGGAAGCATTGCATCAACTGCATATCTTTATTTTTGTCCTAGCTATCGTCCATGTTACCTTTTGTGTTCTGACTATAGTTTTTGGAGGATTACAAGTGAGTATCTAATATGCTTTTATTATAAACTATATTTGTTGAAAGCTTTTCTCTATTAATAAATCAGTCCCATTAATATAGATACGTCAGTGGAAGCACTGGGAAGACTCTGTTAACAAAGAAAACTATGAAACAGAAGCACACAGAGGTATATAAATTTTATCAGTTATAGTATATTCTCTCTGTGAACTATTATTTTATAGTGTATCAAACTCAATATGCCCTTTAAGATCAACATAATCATACTTTATATAGGCTAAATTTCTGTTTTTGTGGACCATTAAACCATTGACAATAACTTTTATACAAATAATGTTGATCATTGAACTTCTGAAATGCTATCTAATTGTTTTTTTTTTTTCTTTTCTCTAATCTTTATATGCATACTGGTTTGATGCAGTTCTGGAACCAACAGTTACTCATGTTCGCGAGCATGCTTTTATAAAGAATCGTTTCACAGGTTTTGGCAAAGATTCTGCTCTACTGGGTTGGTTGGTAGGTTATTTATGAGTATTTAATGGTCTGAAGCTTTGGATAAATAGAATATATACTCATGTTATACCAAAGCCCGTTCCAATCCTTTAATTTTTTTTATTTTGTTGTTGGATATATCCTCCGATTTTTCGATTATCCAACTAGTACGGTTTGAGCACGGTAAGACCCATTATTGGGGGCGACTCTCCTAAAATTATTTTTTTCATTCTCAGAGCTCGAACTCGAGATCTCTGGTTATGGGCAAAAACTGAACCAATGGTTGTTGGATCCAATCCTTTAATTTGAAGATATACTAATATCAACCTTCCATTCCATTCTATAAATACGACTACACACATGCCATAAACATTGGTTTCTATTGTTTGATTACCACTATGCAGCTCTTTTGGGATTAAAAAACTAACTGCTCCTTTCTGTATAGTGTAGACCACACAAATTAGTAATATAGAAATTATTATGAAGTGCCTTGGCCATGTTGTTGTTGACATTATTGTTATTCCATCTAATTTTTTGTGTTTCTTTCAGAAATCCTTTTTCAAGCAATTTTATGGATCTGTGACAAAATTAGATTATGTGACATTAAGGCTTGGTTTCATTATGGTAAGATTTTAGTGTGCCTTATTTGCTGTCAAATAAGTTCCAAGCTTGCTATTAGCCTGTGCTTTCTATGATTGTCCCATAATATTTTGTATCTCTGTTTTAGACCCACACCAGGGGAAATCCAAAGTTCAATTTTCACAAGTACATGATTCGTGCCCTTGAAGATGATTTCAAGAAAGTTGTTGGTATAAGGTATGTGTTTCTGCAGAAGAATTTTGTAGTAGTTATTTAAGCTTCTATGCTTATTACACATCTTCATAAGTTAATTACCCAAGCTTTCTCATTGTTGGGCTTATAGTATAAGCTGTTTCCTTGTTGCAGTTGGTATCTTTGGATCTTTGTGGTGATCTTCTTGTTGCTTAATATCAATGGTATGTTACATGACTTAGCACATATGTCCTATGACTCAATAGTTACGTTGCAAGCTATTTATATTTTCTGTTTTAAACATGTACAGATGATTTCTTGTGAATTTAATACTACTGTGATGAGTTAGTTACATAAATGCTACTGTGTGGTTTATTGTTCACTGTTGTAACTATATTGTGTCACAATGAACCCCATATATATTTCACAATATTATGTGGTTTCTTGTTTTGCAAGATGGATGGATCAATGTTTTATGCCATTCTCTAAGCTAAAATTCTCCAATTTTGTGGTGAATTTGTACCATGTGCCATTGTTTACCAATGCAGCAATCCCCTACTATTCTTTGTTGTGCTTTTGTTGATGAAACAAATTTAAATAGAATTTTCTTATAATAAAAAGCAAAATGATAATAATAATATAGAAAAGGAGGGAAGAATTTTTTTATATGATATGCAGTGAATTTCGAACATGAGCATCATTGGGGACAATGATTAATATACTTTTGCCTATGAGGAGTGATACTGTGATAGTTCTAGTTGCATATTTTGGTTTTTCTATTTGGTAGAGGACATCAATTTTGAAAATCGAAACTAAGATGCCTGCTTTACTTTTCCAGGTTGGCACACATATTTCTGGATTGCTTTCATTCCTGTCATTGTAAGTATCTTGATAAAGTTGTTTGTCTCTTTTACGTGGACATTTACATGTACATACATTAGTTTTAGAGGTCGTTTGTTTCAGCTTTTAAAAAAAGTAACTTTTATCACTTCCTTATTTTAAAAGTACTTTTTACAAAAGTTAAAGCTATTTATAATTTTATACAAATATTTAGTTTTTAAAAAAAATATTTAGCTTTTGACTTTTGCTTTTCTTAGAAGTTAAAATTTTTAGCTTCTGAAAAAAGTAGGTTTTTGACTTTTTTTTGTGACTTCTCCTTTTTTTAAAAGGAGACATCCAAACGAACTAAAAACGAGAAGTGCTTTTTTTCTTGAAAAAAAGCAACTTTTGAAGAAAAAAAAGCTCATCCAAACGGGCCTTTACTCATCTTGCTGACACATCATATCTTAATTTTGTTCAAGGGATGGGGGAGAAATTGAATGTTGCAAGATGTATGCTTCTTAATCTACTAGCATAAGTATAGTTCAAAAGTAAAACTAAATTGTTGATTCCATTAACATGATGTTGTGCCATAGTTTTCTGCTGCATGGTTAGAGTCTCAAAGACTTCCTTGAATTTCCGATTGCACTTAAGCTAATCTGATATGTCATCTGTCAATGATGTAGATATGAAACTTGCTGAATTTATTAGTTTGTTAAATTTCTTTTTCTGTTTTTCCCTACTAATATTTTACTTATGAAAGAGTTATGTGTTTGTGCAAGTTTTGTGCTTTCTATCAATTTTGGTTTCTTTAGCAACAATGTGTGCACAGGCATATCTATACATTTTAATTCTCAATGCAAGTTTTATGTATTTCTTTTCTAGTTGTTTGTCTCTCTCAGCCTTGTATCTTGGTTAATTTTTCTTTTTCTGTTTTGCATTCCCCAGCTTCTACTTGCTGTTGGCACTAAGCTGGAGCATGTAATAATTCAATTAGCTCATGAAGTAGCTGAAAAGCATACAGCCATAGAAGGTGAATTAGTTGTTCAACCATCAGATGATCACTTCTGGTTTAATCGCCCCCACATTGTCCTCTTCTTGATTCACTTTATCCTTTTCCAAAATGCTTTTGAGATAGCATTTTTTTTCTGGATATGGGTAAGCATACTATTACTTTGAAGCACAATTTATGGTACTTTTTGCTATGCTTTTTTTGGATTTCACTTATGGTTTGAGAGAGTATGGTGGGGGTTGGGGGCAGTGTTTCAAGCTAATGAACTCTCTCATATTATATGAAGTAATGTGAGACACGACCTCGATCATTTATAGATAAATCAACGGTTATGTAGAGCACATTAGAATAAAAAAAAGAGAGGATACCGCGATTTTCTCATGATCCAATGTCATGTGAGAGGATTCATTCTCGTGTTTCATAATTGTAATGAATGTAACCTTATAATCTTGTGCATCTCAGGTTACATATGGCTTTGACTCCTGTATAATGGGAAGAGTCCGTTACATTATTCCAAGGCTCATTATTGGGTAACTACAATACTCAAATGTCTTATATATTTTCACTCCTTTCCATGTGAGTTCTAAATTTCTTTCTTTTCCCTTCTTAACTCCTTTTTTCTTACCCCTTTCTGTTGGGGATTGTAGGGTATTTATTCAATTACTATGTAGTTATAGTACCCTACCACTCTATGCAATTGTCACACAGGTAAGTTTGAGTTGCTTTTTCAAACTGAAATGCAAATAAGTTTTCTTAAATCAAGGCCTATTTGTATATTGACATTCATCAATTTTACCCTTTATATATAGATGGGAACTAGCTATAAGAAGGCCATATTTGATGAACAAGTGCAAGCACGCCTTGTTGGTTGGGCACAAAAGGCGAAGAAGAAAGGGTTAAAACCTGATAGCCAACATACCCAAGGAAGTTCTCATGATGGTGTAGCTAATGGAGTTCAACTAGGGACAATTTTCAGAAGGGCATCTGGCACAGAAGACAATGCCATTGTCCCCACAGATGAAGAGTCCAAATGAGTGTGTATCTCCATAAATAAGGGATAAATTTTAAGTACTCTTATAGTACTAAAATTATTACACCAACTTCAATTATAACACATGAGCTTAAGTAGCCTCATAAATGAAAAAGTTACCAAGAAAATGGTTGTAAATTTAGGTGAGTCCAAGTGTTATAAAAATTTACCCCTAGCGAAGATGAACGAACATGTAAACAATGTTTTAGAACCACTATATAATATAGTTGTTGTTTCTTTAGTATCATACGAGCAGCGACACACCCTAAAGTTTCTGCTAGTGGGGGCAAAGATAGTAAACAATAGGAACATACCTTAGTTACCTTAATTAGTGCTTAACAGGAAAACAAAATTTGAAAGACAACGAGGGCTAAAATGTTACCACTAAGATATGTCTTCATTATTTGGGTTACTTGTATAATATTGTCACTCTATTTTAGTTAATTATTTTTAATACTCTTTATTAATCACTTTTATCCACATCCAAATTTTTAAGTAACATTTTTTTTTTCAAAGTTAGTCTTATACGAAAGAAATAAAAAGTAATGTGCCTCGATTCAGTGGCGGACCTAGAGAATTTTATTTATGTTTGCATCTTTAGGGACGAGTTCGGGGCAGTGCCCTCGAAAAAAAAAATTTAAAGAAAATTTCAAATGTATTAAAAAATAAAAGAATATAAACAAAAAAAAAACAATAAAACTTCAACTTAGCATAAAAAAAATAGTAATCAAGTGTCAACTAAGTTGTTACGATAGAATAATTACAAAAGTGTTCTTCGATTCTTCATTCCTTGAAAATATTGGATTATATTTTTATCATAAATCTTATCAATTTTATTTGTTAGTTGTTTCTTAGGTATAATCGGTTCCGTTTGCTGGTTAGGGTTATATAGAAAAAAATAAATTTTGTTTATGATGGTATATTGAATATTTCATGTTAATGTTAACATTTAATACTGAATCCAAATAAATTTAAAATTAAATAAATGAAAAAGAAATAATCAATTAGAAAAAATTTATATATATACAAAAATATAAAAAAATATAAAAAAAATTGAGTAACAAATTATTTTAAAAAAATTTCTTATTCAAAAATAAAAACCCTGTGAAAATGGAATAATATTTAATTCAAAAAACAAAATCTACTTTTCTATTTAGCAAAAAAAGAAGCCACCTTCCCAATTATAAACGAAACACTTGTGAAAAAAAAATTCTCCATAAAATTATGTCTGCAAATGCAGACAATTGCACAAATGTCGGTCTGTCCCTGCCTCGGTTAAAATTTGTCGAGAATTTAAATCAATCCTGTAAGATATTTTTGGGCTAAGGTTGTAAACATCTAAAGTTATATTTTCAATAGAATTTTCATAGCCAAACTCAAAGAAAACAACACCCTGTAAATTTTCCTGCAAATTGTGGAAAGGAAGAAAATAAATCATATTATTATTATTTCACCATCAAATTTTTATTTGCTAAGTTTGAGTGTAAAGAAGGTATAGAACTTCAACTGTTGAAGAAAAAATGTATATATCTTTGCTTTCAATGAAGATGACATTCTTACTAAGAACAAAAGATCTAGTCATGATGACTCTATATCATAAACTCTAAAAAAAAAAAAAATAATAATAATAATTAGTAGTCTTTGGAAGACATCTTAAGAATATTCATGACCCTTCTGGAATCTTTCTTTAATGCCTTCTCAACTTCCAAGAGAAAAAAAAAACACTCTTGCCCAATAAAACTCGTAGTAGGTAACCCTTTGACCCTTCAAAATTGTATAGCACAGAACCTGTCCTTTTTATTAATATGTCTATGCTCTAGCTTAATTTTTGTGGGCAAAATATTATTGCGCGGTTGTACACAGTTTAGAAATGTATCTAAAGTGGAATCAGTCTCTAATTTTGATATTTTAATCCTACTTGTGTTCTTTTCTTGCGCCAGCTTTTTAGAGGAAGAAATGAATAACAAAGCATTGTAAATATTAATCTCTTGTACAATATTGGTTACACAGTCATAGATTTTTGTGGTATATTAGGATATTATCATTATTATTATTATTATTATTATTATTATTATTGGCAATATTATTTTATAGTATTATAAATTACATTCTCAATCTTAACTCTAATTTTTATATATATTATTAGGATGCATTTTTTCTGCAATCAACGTAGATAAGTTATCTATATCTAACCTTAACGACAACGTCGTTTTGGGACAAAAATTAAAGTATTTTTGTAATTATAATTTATTTCAGTATTATAATAATCTTTTTCATTATAATTTTTTTTTAAACCAAAACGACATCATTTTAGAAGTGAATATAAATAACTTAAAGACATTCATTATACAAATATTAAAATCATATTATTATGGGATTTATACTTCTCCTCTCAAAGAGAAGTTTCAAGCTTGCAGCAGATACAATAGAAAATGAGCCCCATATTTTTAAAAGAAAAAAAAAAAAGCAGGCACTCAAGTCGATGAGTTCATGACATGAGGTTAAACTTCTTCCGTAAAAGTAAAAGTAAAAAACCCTATTATTATGAAGGGATTAAATTTTTTCCAAGAACAGCATAAATTTTTCCCCCTCCTATTGATCCTTTGAACTTTGTGCCTTTTTTTATTTAAATAATTAGCCTCACTATTTTGTTCTCTCTGTAAGAAAATGGAAGTATCTTTCGTAAAAGGAGAGACATAAAGCCTTATTATAAATTATATATTTTATTTTAGTTATAATTTATTATAAATGTAAGTCGTTATATGTAAATATACAAATAAATAAGATTGGTTGTAATTTTTTTATTCTTGCACGGATGGAACTTGTTATTATTATTATTATTATACAAAAGAGACACTAACAAATTTGTGAGGTGGTGGAAAATGGTGAGCTTAATGAGTATAAGTATTTGAGACAAGTTGGAAATTGAATTTGACCTCAGATGCTTTCAAAGAATTTAATTAGGTGCTATTTGGTAACAAGATCATTGAAAATTACAACAATAAGAACTTGATTTCTATTTGAATTCCCACCCACTCTAACCCCTAAACTAAACATTGGTGGCTACTTTGACGTTTTTCACTAGCACTTGGAAATGGAGCAAAAGGTTACGAATTTGTTGTCCATAATTTATGGAATAATATCAAATTTTTGGTAGTGTATCATTGTTAAATATTGAAAAATTAAGAGACTTGAAAATGTTTATACAAAAACCTATGAAAATGCTAGTGTATTAAACATTATGTGAACTCCAACTTGCAAACTAGATTTTCCTTAATAAAAACAACCATATAGTGAGAGGCATATGACAAGGGTCACGCGTACATAGAGAGCATGGCACATCCCTTTTTGAATCAAAAAAGATGATACAAAAGAATGAAGAGCAAAACTAAGAGCAATGTTCCCAAACCCATTCCAAATCCATCATAATCATGGCTGGAGATGTTGACATGATGGTTTGTATCATAAGTTGACTTGCCAAAGAAAGGAAATGAAGAAGGCCAGTGAATAATTGCAAATACTAAAAGAGCAAGAAGCACCAACATGAGAGTTGTAAAACTTTTCTCATCTTCTGTTAAAGATTCAACTAAGGATGAATAAGTGTCTAAAATGGACATCACACTCTCCCAGTAGATTAGCATCCCCAAACCCAGCACAAATAGAGAAGGAAGCAGTGGTGATGGCCCCCTTTCCATCTTCTCACTCATGTGCGACTACTAGTACAATTTTGAAAGAAGAAGTTAATGTGATTTATAAGATAGTTTCATTGTGGGGTGTTTGATTGTTGAAGATAGGAATGACACATGTCTAATTGGTTGAGCTATCCCAACGTCTCTTGCAGTAAAGTAACCCCATTTTTTTTAATGCCTATGATTTTCTCAAAGGTAATGGTCTCTGAAGTTGGTTGCCAACTATTACTTTTTGTGTCATTCATACTTTTATATTAAAACCAAAATGGTCGGTTTTTTAATATTATTAAACCTGGATTGGTTATTCACTCGGTCGAATTACTGATAATGAGTTACTACTTCAATCAGTGGATTATTGATTGAACCATTTAAATTAATTTATGTAAAAATATATAATAAATTTATAAATAAAAGTAAGATTTTATAAGAGTTATGTCTTCAAAACATACGGGTCCCATAAAATATTGTGTGTGTAGGAAATTTTTTGTGATCATGTTAAATGATGAATGCAAATCCCATTAAAAATTCATATTAAATTAATTATTAATTGAATCAAATAGTAATTAACATTTGTAAGTTGATATATATATATATATATGGGATAGGATATTGTGACACCCAAGTTATGTTACACCCATGTGACACCCAGTCAATCTCACCGTTAGATCGCTTATGTTGATCCAACAGTTATAATTATTTCCATCTTTAAATGGTCATGATTTCTCAAATTTAAAGTGAAAGCATTAAATATGGGAAATCATAATCATACAAAGGTAGAAATAAATATAAAATATTAAATTTGGGAAATCATGACCATACAAAGATGGAAATAAATATAACCGTTGGATCAACATAAGCGATCTAACGGTGAGATTGACTGGGTGTCACATGGGTGTAACATAACTTGGGTGTCACAATATCCTATCCCTATATATATATATATATATAGTCAATTTTAAGAAGAAAATATTTTTTAATGAGATTATGGAAATGACAAAAGAAATATAATATCATAAGATTAAGAAATTATTGTCCCAATCTGTCCGTATTGATTCGGATTGTTAGTAAATCCATTCAGGATTTAATTTGAAACAAAACTATAATTAACTATTTTGAATGAACTTTGGATGATAAAAACATATATAATTTTTAACATTGGCTGCAAGCTGCGACACCTAGGAATCAAACTAGAGACTTTTTAACCCCATCAAGGCACAACTCGCTTACAATATATGCCAACCCTCAAGGTTATAATTAAGATTTTAGGATGTCTATTATGTTGCCTTATATTAGAGCGAGCCCGACCCAACGAGCTAGCCCATTTGCCAAATTTGGCAGATTGGGTTATAATTGTTAATCCGCAACAAACTATCCATACTTTTTTTTGGTATAATTTGGAGATATCGTCGTTTAACTTCCTTTAGTCACCTTGTTCTCGGAATACGACTCAAAGTTTATCTCTTCATTGGAACAGCGGGTGCATTGAACTTCGCTACCAAAGGAAGAATAAGACTAAT